CGTATAAATGTATAAATAGCAGCTGGCATAAAAAGGTTAAACCTCCAACCCTCATAAACAATAATATCCAACAATGCAGCGCTCAGATAAAATGATCCATAAAATTCATCACATAAAAACAAGTCCATCAATGTATGACTTATTTATAAACGCATGCGAAATTAGCTAAATGCTCAGTCCAGTATGAAACCACATAGAAAATAGTTATCTTAGAATCCTAAGAAGTGTCACATATCGTGATGGTGACGTTGCAGTTGCAGTTGCAGTTGATGAATTGTATGAGAGTGGATGGTCCGGGGAAGTGTTGCCTGGCTGTGTGGACTTGGCTGCCTGTCCTGTCCTATCACCAGGTGTGTGTCCAGTACCTCCTCCATGAGCGCTGTTCAGCGGGTGAGAGCCACTAAGGTGGATCCCTTGTAAGTGCTTACCATTGGGTGCGTAAAAGTGAAGTGAATCTTCCCCGTGATCCGGAGAGTGTCAGTGGAGGAGAGGCTGTGTGCAGACCTGTTGCCAGAGGTGTTCCATACATTCCAGGATGATGATGACCAGGAGTGGTCTTGATTACTCAAAAGCGCTATAATTTGCGCTGTCTGGTTAGTGCAACTTACTCTCTTTCCCACATGCACCTGATGCACGGATCTGCACCTCTTTGAAGATTTATATGTCACTAATACACCATTTGATGTCTTTAGACGCAGACTTACACCCTTATGTGACACTTCTTAGGATTCTAAGATAACACTGTTCAACAGGTAAAAAGTTTTGGGCATAAAATTAGCTAATCTTACATAATTTTGGGGTGCTGAAAATGAAAATGACCCTAAAAAATGTTGATTGGCTCTAGTTTCCATGATATATTCACCCATCTAATGACGTAAGCCATTCAAAATTATGATGCAACTTCAGCTGCATATTGTGCAATTGATACTGGTGACCAATAGAAAATTGCATGTATACTGAGATGATGCAATATTAGCCTTTAATTGCATCACTTCACTGCATAAAAGCTGCAGTATCTGTAGCTGATTGTAGTTCGACAGCGTCTTTACATTTCGTTTTATGCTTATATAGGCTACTCAGTAATGCCTCGAACTTGTGTGAATAAAGCAGATAATTTCTGCTATATCTGCGGTGAAATAACTTTTATCTCACAAAAAAGGAGGATAACAGGAATGATTAAGAAAGCCTACAACTTGTATTTTGGCTGCAAGATAGGAGACCAGGACAAGAGCTGGGCACCACATATATGCTGCAATTCTTGTGGGACGGCACTGGAGCAATGGTTGAATGGAAAAAAGGCATCTATGCCTTTCGCTGTGCCAATGATTTGGAGAGAGCCAACAGATCATGTTAGTAATTGTTACTTTTGTATGGTGCCTCCAATTGTAAAAGGGCTAAATAAGAAGAAAAAGTTATCTGTGCACTATCCAAATATTCCATCGGCAATACGTCCAGTTCCTCATGGAGAGGGGCTACCAATTCCTAAAGCACCAGAATCCTTCGTGGTTGAGTCAAGTGAGGAAGAACCTGAAGCGCGTAGTCACGTGCAGTTGTAAGAGATAGCCCTTTCCTCGAATACAAGAGAAAAGCCAAGAGAAGCAAAACCGACACAAACTGAAGACAAAACTAGTGAGAATCCTAAGTATTAAAATGATTCAACTTAGCTTATGGCTATAATTTTTCTTGGTAATCCTATGCAATATATTATGCCATTTAGGCTTTGTTATATAGTCAATATCACTTGCTTTATATTTGTGGAAAGACATCTATCTATATAATTATTGTGCATTATGTAGTCATTACGCCTATAGTAGAAAACTTTCCGTTTACAGAAAAACTAGAGCCAATTGACAAATTTCATTGTTATATTTGAACTCAGAATGTGAAATTCATTAAGAAATGGATCCTTTTGTTTCCAAAACTGGCAAAAAATAAAAATTTGTTGAACAGTGTAATTATTTTCTATGTGGTTTCATACTGGACTGAGCATTTTGCTCATTTTGCATGCGTTTATAAATACGTCATACATAGCTACATTCGATTCATCCACAAGGCGAACATTAGGCCAAGACATTAGGCCAAGACATTTACAAATTCCCGAGTCAACCCATGAAAATAGTGGCAATTGCTTTGGATGGAAAGTACATTTACTTACGAAAGTATTTCAAGGTCTCTTCAATTTGTTCAGTTGTCAAGTCAATGTTGGCATCAGGAGAGATGAGCGGTGTTTGGAGCCAGTCGTCGTGGTCATACCCATAGATGGTGTCAGCTCTTAGCTTGTAATGGGGTAGCTGCTCTTCCAGCAGGCTGATGATTTCAACTTCCGGAAGATCAGTACTATTGCACACATCTGAAAGAAATCGGAGCATATTGTTTGCTGTTATGAAGTCTAACGCTCTGGGTTTAGTATTCGAGATCTTTGAATAACTACAAATTTGCATCAATATATTTATGACATGTTACAATGTACAGCAACAGTATAAAGCTTTTAGTCCCTGAACGACAGATAAGTGGGTTTTCTTAAGATGAAATGACTCAATCACTCTGCTGTTGGCAGAAGGGAGCATTTCTTCCCCAGTTCCTCCCAATAAGTCACACTGCAACACTGTAACTTTGTAGCAGTCACACAGTAAGAGGCTGAATCAGGGGTGAGTAATGCCAGGTTAAAGTGATATTAAAGCTTCACATTTTATTTAATTAAAATAACAAACATGTTAGACTTCCCTGCTCTAAGCAATGGTTTTCCAAAGAGCAGACCCAATCTTCCGCATCTTGGGTCCCCTGCCAGCGCTCCTGGCTCCTCCCCCCTGCTGACTTCCCCCATAGCAAACCGCTTGCTATTGGGACACTCATGCATGCTCACTCTGGAGCCCTGCTCTGTGTGTCCACAGACACACAGAGTGACTGAGCCCCGCCCCCCTGCTCCCTTCTTACTGGCTGTGATTGACTGCAGGAGAAGCCAATGGCTCCTGCTGCTGCCTATCTATCCATTGACGCAGGAGAGAGCTGCTGCTCTTGTGCACATCGCTGGATCTAGATAGGGTAAGTATTTGGGGGGGGGGGGGCGGAGCAGCACATTGAAGGTTTTTAACCTTAATCAAGAAAATGTATTGAGGTAAAAATATATTTAGGCTTTAGTCCTGCTTTAAATTGTGGAAATTGTGAAAATGTAGAGCTGCCCATAGTAATGAAGATAAGTGCATGAATAGGCCATGCGTGCGTAAGCATACCCACACAGGAATCTACATTAAACGTTACTGCCTATACCCATACCCATATAAAGGTCCAATTCCTCCACTCATAGAGTGCTTTTCATTCAAGGCTATAGTATAGGTACTATATTATAGAACCTATAAGGGGGATATTAACCCTTGCAACACTGGAAGAATACGGCTGTGAAGTTTTTTGGGGGGGCTGAGGACTTTCAGGACAGCCAGCGACAGCACAAGGGACACTTCACATTTAATGTAAAAAGAATTCCTTCTGGTGATTTTTCAAAAAACATACCGAAAGTTAGGCTTTAACTATTTGCTGTACTGTAGTGTTCAAAATGGTAGCCTTGATAATATAGCAAGGTTAGGCCTCCTGTTCATGGGCGTGGTGTTCCTGCATCTGCTGAGCTATAGCAAGTCCAATCCTAATTCCAATGTATAAAAAAAAATGAAATTTAAAGGCATTGTTCACCTTTACCAATAAACTGCCTATGCAGGTAAGGGGTGTCTATGGATAAAAGCCAACAGTGCAGCTTTGACCAAAGTTGAATAATGCCCTTGCTATAGGTGTAGGTCATTTGCATACCTCCAGAAGCTTGACTGAAAAACTCCCAGAGGTGGCATTATCCCTTCCTGCCTCGTTGCTAGGATGTTGCTAGGAGACTCCCAGCTGTTACTGTTCTCCACCACCACTTGGTCAAAGCTGCACAGGGTTATTTTTATTTACAGATGCTCCTTAGGTGCACAGGCAGTTTGTTTAACTAAGCCTTCAAACTAATATTTTAAAAAATGCCTTGGTTTGATTTACCGGCAATTCCAGTTTACTGATAACAGTCACCGGCTGCATTCAGAAAGACGATAAAAATGCTGTTCTAAAAATAGCTAGATCATATGACAGACGTAAGGCCAACACACTGCTTCAGATACACCCAACGTTGGCAGCATATTCTACTACAAGGCAGTCATTTAAAAATGATGATTATACCCTTAATACACGGGTGCTCAACTTGTGGCCCTTGGAGCCCTCTGATGTGGCCCTCAACCTCAAACTGAATGCAGGAGTTTTGGCGAGCTTTCGGAAAGTGCACAACATCTGCAAGATATACCGTATTTTTTGCCCCATAAGATGCACTCCCCCCCCCCCCCCCCCCACCAAATGATGGAGGAAATGTCTGTGCATCTTATGGAGCGAATATTGACCAAGACTCCTACCCCCTCCCTGCCGCCATGTTAGAATACCGGGCCGACCGCTCGGCTGTTCTATGGGAGAAGAGAGGAGGAGTCCGAGTCAGCAGTGCAGCAGCACCAGGCAGGGCCCAAAGCAGCTGCCCCTTAAAGCGGAGTTCCAGCTGAAAAAATACTGTAGCTGCTACCTTTTAAAATACAGCCACTTACCTGTTCCTCGATCCAGCGGTATCCTCACCACCTCTTGTTTCACCAGCCATCTTCTTTAGTGTAGGTACCTGGCTGTGAAAGCTTGCAGCTTCACAGCCAGGTGCCCACTGCGCATGCGTGAGCAGCGCTGCACTTTTTGAATGGTCCTGTAGTCTTCTGGGACCCATCATGTGTCCCAGAAGACTACGGGGGGGAGGGGGGGACAACTTCCACTTTCGATCGCCTAGGTGATTGCAGCGGAAGTGGGAGCGGATACCTGTCAAATTCGTGTACCCACTTACCCGCTCCCCAAAGTTGCCAATCCTTAATGGGGAGTGGGGTTGATAGCATTAAAGCGGAACTTCCCCTTTTGAGTGGAACTTAAGCCCACACCGCCCTTAAATTGGCAACAGGGTAGGCTGATGACATCCTTGTGAGCCCGCCTTCAAAAATGATGCTGAGTCGGGCTGGCCAGGTATATCTTCTCCCCCCATAGACTCCTGTGGACTGCTATACCAAACTGTATATATGTGCATTACTGAAAGGTCTCTGTTCATCCCTTGTACTATGTCTGCAGTCTCTGGTCATCTCCTGTACTGTGTCCGCAGTCTCTGGTCATCTCCTGTACTATGCCCGTAGTCCCTGGTCATTCTCCTGTACTATGCCCGTAGTCCCTGGTCATTCTCCTGTACTATGCCCCGTCTCAGTCTCTGGTCATCTCCTGTACTATGCCCGCAGTCTCTGCTCATCCCCTGTACTACGTCTGCAGTCTCTGGTCATCCCCTGTACTATGTCTGCAGTCTCTGGTCATCTCCTGTACTATGTCCGCAGTCTCTGCTCATCTCCTGTACTATGTCCGCAGTCTCTGGTCATCTCCTGTACTATGTCTGCGGTCATCCCCTGTACTATGTCTGCAGTCTCTGGTCATCTCCTGTACTATGTCCGCAGTGTCTTGTCATCTCCTGTACTATGTATGCAGTCTCTGGTCATCTCCTGTACCGTGTCTGCAGTCTCTGGTCATCTCCTGTACTGTGTCTGCAGTCTCTGGTCATCTCCTGTACTGTGTCTGCAGTCTCTGGTCATCTCCTGTAGTACATCCACAGTCTCTGGTCATTCCCTGTACTATGTCTGCAGTCCATTGGTTCAGAACATTTTTTTCTTGTTTTCCCCCTCTAAAACCTAGGTGCGCCTTATGGAGCGAAAAATACAGTAATAGAAGTCTATGGCAGAGTGCAGCTAACTTGCAGGAAAGCTGCAGGTGCACTGTGCTACACATCAGTGTGAAAGCAGTAAATCTTCCTTTACATTTGCGGTTTTGGAAGCAGGTAATTTTTACCACCCCCAACCACTAATGTAGCGTCAAGGGTCGCAATGGTAACCGATCCTCTCCATTTTACTCCTGCCACTGCTAAAAGCTGGCTTCTACTCCTCTCTCTTCAAAAGCATTCAGTGGCTGCAGCAAGAAAATGTTCCTTATGCTATTCAAAATAAAAAAAAATTAAATTCTGAATCATTTAATTGCATTGTGGCCCACAACAAGTTACCAAATAACTTAGTGTGGAACTCCACTGCATCTGAGCACCACAAACCAAAAATTCCATTTTATTCATTGCTCATATCCAAAGCAAACTCCCCCATGCATCCATGTCTCCATGCTTTATTTTGCTTAGAAATCATTGTGAAAAACACCCTCTGGCATTTTTGGGAGTGGCCATCTTAAGTAAGGGCAGATGATTCATTTAGCATTCACTTCCTGGAATCCATCTGCTCTTAGCTCAGGCATTGGCTGAGCTGAGAACCCTTCCTCCCTTTCTGAAGACTCCTGGGATGTATGACATCATTTACTTAGGCATAGAAACCAGGGAGTAACTGAAAAAATGTAGAAAAAAAAGTTTAAAACAAGTAAATATGATATACTTTCCTATCCATTTACTAATGCTAGCAGCATAAAGATTACAATTAGTCAGTGTTAGTTGAGAGAGTGAAGTTCTGCTTTAAGTGTCCCTCACTGTTGAAAAGATTGAGCACTCCAGCCTTAAGTCTATGAAAAGTCTACAGTGGATATATATCTTCCTTTCATAAAGGGTCAACATTAATTTGATCACAAACTGCTTAAATTCTTCATGACCCGAGGGCCCAAATTAAATTTACAACTTCAGTATACATCAGTTTACTTACTTACCTCTGTGAATAACTAACTTACCTGAAAAGTTATTACTTTGTAAGTTTATGATGAAAGGTAAAATCTAAAGTAAACCATGTACTGCCAATGCAGGGTAAAAGCACCAGGATTCCTTTACTGCTACCCTCTCCAGCTGTGCACCCACCTACCCTTCATTCCCCTACGACTCTATTCAGCTGCTGGGAACAAATACAGGTACTTCCAGGTATGGGAAGAATGTGAATCACCCATCACCTCCCTCTTGCCACATGTCAGCGCTGGGGATTGGGGAATGGTGTTTGGCTACTAAAGCACCCAGGCTGCTCCAAGCAGCCATTGTTTTTCTAAATTTTTTTTTTTTTTTTCAAAAAAAGCAAACTTCCTTTATCCACTTGCTCTCCAGAGGATTTCCCCCCCTTCCTGACCAGACCATTTTTTGCGATATGGCGCTGCGTTACTTTAACTGATAATTGCGCGGCCATGCAACGTTGTACGTAAATAAGAATTACGTCCTTTTTTTCCAACAAATAGAGCTTTCTTTCAGTGGTATTTGATTGCCTGTGCATTTTATATTTTTTGCGCTAAAAACAAAAAAAGACCCACAATTAAAAAAAAAAAACAACAATATTTTTGACTTTTTTGCTATTGAACATGTTGAGTAAAAAAAATTAAAAAATCAAATTTCATCATAAATTTAGGGCAAAATGTATTCTGCTACATGTCTTTGCAAAACAAAAATCCCAATACGTATAAATGAATTGGTTTATGTGAAAGTTATAGCGTTTACAAATGGCGGTGTATATACACTGGAATTTTTTTCTCCACTAGTAATGGCAGCGATCAGTGACTTATACCGGGACTGCAGCTGGCATTCTGACACTGGGGGGGAACTGACCTCGTGTCACTGACATCCCCAGTGACACCAATACAGTGATCAGTGCTAATAAAAAGCATAAAATGACACTGGGCAGGAAGGGGTTAACATGTGGGGTGATCAAAGGGTCAACTGTGTGCTGTTTTACTATGTGGGCTGTGTGTTTGTTTCACTGTAAGCACACTGCTTTGTATGACTCTGCTATGCAGAGCCATAGTGCAGGAGCTGCCAGGGGAGAGATCTGTATTGTTTACATACAGGTCTATGCCCCATCGGAAATCCTCGGAGATAGCTGGGTGCAGAGCCATAGTGCAGGAGCTGCCAGGGGAGAGATCTGTATTGTTTACATACAGGTCTGTCCCCATTGGAAATCCTCGGAGATAGCCGTGTGCCAGCGGGGAAACACAAAGTGGACTATGCCTATATAATATATGTTGAAATGGCCACTGGTAGTCGCTAACAGAAGCCTGCATGACAAGGTGACAACCCAAAAGCACTATTGGGAGGCAGGGACAGAGTGTTGTCACCCTATAACCCTCCAACTACAATAAAATAAATGAAGTGCTGATTGGAGAAGAAGAGGCAGCTGTTCCTGTGTGGATGAGGTAGTCACCCGTCCATGTGCTCGGCAAATGTTAGACTGATATACAGATAGACACATTCCTGCATACTCCTAGAGACCTGTTATTTCTGTCATTTTGTTATCATTGTTAAAAAATGATGTGGTTGTCCTTCAACTGGGCCTTTCACGTCAACGTTTCTGAATCGGCAACTGTTGTTAAAGATGACAAACCATTCATTGTTTAATCTCATAAAACTGCAAACGCAAAAATGTCCCTGGAAGGTACGTGCATCTCAGACAGAACGGAGAAATGTTTCCTCACAGATCCCACATTTCTCTAATGGACGATCAGATCCACAAATGACCCAATGCGGCAGAATTAGTAACGTTTTACGTACTCATTTTGTGAGTGGATTTAGTTTCTCCGTCTCCCCTCAGTTCGCTCTCTCCTACGGTCACATTTTCCTTCCAGCTGTCCTGATGACTGCTCGTCCTAAAGCAACACATGGAAAGGGCGCTGCTGGTGCCCAGGCCGGCTGTCACATGGGGCTGCAAATTTCCTGACTAAACATAGCTAAGACAAAGCCAGCTCACTAGCAGGGCCTTGCTGATCCACGCCTTCACAGCAACTAAAAATGGCTGCCCTTTCACATTCTGCCAATTCAACTGCCTGGCAGACAAAGTCGCTCTGAGGCCGGGCAGTCTGTCTACATTGCTGAATAAAATAGACCTCTGTATAGAACATACAGTAAGGGCTCATGTACACTGCAGCTGATAAACTCATGTTTAGGAGCTTTTCTGCGTTTTTGTCAGCAGCCCCTGAACTCTCCCTAATGTTTTCCTATGTGTCCCATGTACACTATGTCATTTACAGTCGTTTACAGGCACTTGAGTTTACAGTCGTTTTTTTGAATGCACAATTGAGTAGATTTTATCAGCGTTTCAAATGGCAAATGCATTTAAAACACCAATAACCGCGTTTATAAGCGTTTGCGCTTAGAAGCGGTTTTTAAATGTTCCATAGCCAAATGCTGTCCTTTTTTCATCATCAGAAATGCATGCAAAGCGTTTTCCATGTATTCAAATGGACTTGGTACACCAGTGCAGTCAGTTCCAGGTTTTGCGTGAAGGAAAAAATGGTAGAACGTGCCGCATTATGATGGGATCCATAGTGAATACAACCAGAAAAGATAGGTAATCTCAACACATACTGCTCTCTCAATTTCTCTCAAAATGTCTGAAATTGTTAATTTTTTTACTGTTTTTCAGTGCATTCTGGGCATTTTGGAAGGTCTCCTGATGTTATCTTTATCCTCTTCACGCGGGCCGCACACAAATGTGCGGCCTCCCGGTGTCTGGGCCTAGATGCCGAACGGCCGCACATTTGTGTGCAATTAAGAAAAACATATGTGCTGAGAGCGTGTGCCCTGCGCGCTCCCAGCACACATGTCCGGTACTCACGGAAAGGTTCCGATCTCCTCTTTCGATCGGGACCTTTCCTGATCATGTGACTGCCGTGACGGCGAATCACGGCGAGCACATGACCCTAAAACCCCGCCCCACCTCCCGGCTTCTGAAACCCTTAAAGGGCCGGGAGGCGCCAAGGGGTTAAAAAACGCTTCTAACGCAAACGCACATAAACGCGGTATGGAAACGCAGCTAAACAGACATTTTCTAACCTACGTTTTCCAGCAGTCAGTTTCCATTGTTCAGAAGTGTTTTCCAAACGTCCCGTGTACATGGAGCCTAACACTGTACAGGCAGATTAAAAGGATTTTTACTGCAACGTTCGAGGGAAGAGTCACTTATAACATACATTTCACATGTCATATCCATGGAGATGATGGCAGTGCAATCCTATCTATTTTTTAATGGACATTTTTTGTTAAATCCGGTAATGCTGGGATTGCCCTTCTGCTTTGAGCTGTATTCATCACATTTTTCTGTTTGTCCCTATGTACCTGCTGGTGTGGTGACTTCTTGATATGCCCCCCCCATGCACTAATATAACCAACTGTGCTCAATCAGCACAATCAATCCTCCCACTTAGGCATGGGTCAAGCTTCGAACGATTTTTAGTTCGAAAATCGGACCTAAGAATAATCGGCCGATTTTCGCTCTGTTAGTGGGGCAATGGCACCGGCCTATTTTCATGGTTCCTCCCCATTTCGTTTTTTGGGCACGCTGGAAAATACGTGAAAAACGACTGATTTTCAAAATCATTGGTGGCACCATCGGATTACAGAACGAACTATGTTTACGATTTAAGATCGAAAAATCGTTTGGAATTCCACCCATGTATGGCCTGATTTAAACCTAAATCAATGAATACTTATAAAATACCCCTTGTTGCTTGAACACAAAAACAATGGATCACACCTCACTATCTCAATATATTCACAAATAACTAGTGCAGCGCAACTCTCCAAATTAACCACTTGCAGTCCTGAGGATTTACCTCCCCCCCCCCCCCTTAATGACCAGACCATTTTTTTTTGCAATACGGCGCTGCGTTACTTTAACTGACAATTGCGCAGTCATGCAATGCCGCACCCAAATTAAATTAAATGTTTTTTCCCCACGAATTGACCTTGCAGTGGTATTTGATCGCCTGTGAGGTTTTTATTTTTGTGCTATAAAAAAAAAAAGACCGACAATTTTGAGAAAAAAAACAAAGTGTTTGAATTTTTACTATTAAAGATGTCCAGTAAAACAATTAAAAAAAATCAAATTCCGTCATAAATGTAGGCCAAAATGTATTCTGCCACAAGTCTTTGCTATAAAAAAAAAATCCCAATACATGTAAATTACTAGGTTATAGCGTCTACAAATGGTGGTATATATACTGGAATTTTATTTTTTTAATACTAGTAAATGGCGGCAATCAGCGACTTATAGTGGTGGGCATTCTGACACTGGGGGGGAACTGACTGTCACTGACATCCCCAGTGACACTAATACAGTGATCTGTGCTAATAAAAAGCACTGACACTGTACTAATAACACTGGGCAGGAAGGGGTTAATGTGAGGGGCGATCAGAGGGTTAACTGTGTGCTGTGTGTGTTTTACTGTGTGCTTTACTATGTAAGCACACAAAGCCATACAAAGCAGCATGCTGGAGCTGACAGGGGAGAAATCTGTATAGTTCACATACAGACATCTCCCCCGTCAGTGATACTTGACATTACAATTACAATACAAATTTGGTACAAGAGGAAACAGAGGGTCCTGCTCGTTAGAGCTTACAGTCTAAGAGGAAGGGTTGAATGACACAAAGTGTACTAGCTCTTGGGGATGAGCTGATGGAAGAAGTAAAAAGCAGTTTACTAGTTAGAAGCAGGGTAGGCTTCATTAACCCCTTTGCGCCGGTGCCTCCCGGCTCTTTAAGAGGTTTCAGAAGCACGGGGAGGCGGTGTTTTAGGGTCATGTGACCGCCGTGATTTGCTGTCACGGCAGTCGCATGATCGGAAAAGGTCCCTATTGCAAGGGGAGATCGGGACCTTTCCATGAGTCATGGGCATATGTGCTGGGAGCGTGCAGGGCGCGCACTCTCAGCGCACATGTATTTTCAGATGGTACGCAAATATGCGGCTGCTTGGCGTCAAGGCTCAGAAGCCAAGAAGCCGCATATTTGTGTGTGCTCGGCGTCTAGGGGTTAAAGAGAAGGGTTTTTCAGGGATCGTCTAAAGGTGGATAGATTAGGAGATAGTTGGACAGATTGGGGTAGGGAGTTCAAGAAGCTCGGGAGAAGTCCAGGAGGCAATTATGGGAGGAGGTGATTCTTTTGCATAGGTGCAGAGCATTAAATACCTCCTTCAAATGGCTGCTTTCAATACTAGTGTGAACTAGGCCTTACTATACACAAAAGACCAATTGATCTCTTCTGTCATAATTGCTTCTCCCTACTTGTCAGTGTTTGTTCCCACTGAGATGTGCATACATGCACAGCTCAGCATGCAGTGTTATGTCACATTTTCAGGATGGTAACAACTTAAGGCATTCCAAATTGTATAGTCTTCCTCCTCTGACTTAATTTCTGTACCATAATAAACAGTACAAGGAGATGTAAATCAATATGTCACTTAGGACTGGTTCACATCAGCACTTGCTGGCTGGATCACCAGATGAAAAGAGAAGAAAAAAAACCTAAAAAAGAAAACTAAAGCAGCCATCACATCCAAGAATTAGCAAGCTGCAATATACAGTAGTAAATGTTTAATACTGCCTTAACATCAGAGAAACTGAATTAGGAAATCTGTACAACTTCTACTGACACGGACAAGAAGGATCCCCCCCCACTGAAATATTTCTGTAGCTGTCTGTAGCTGAGATATTTGTTTTACATCATCCTGGATTAACAACATTATAATAGGGTAAATTTTGAGCAATTTAGTCCTGTTTAAAAGCTTCTTTCATTTGGGTGGTGTTACAATCTATTTTCAAATCTTGCCATGCATATTCGGGAATTATAAAGCCATGTAGGAGAAAATTGACAGTGATTTTTCCAGTAATTTAAACCCACACAGATTTCTTACTGCCAGCAGCCCCTCGGGAATATCATCTGACAGATGGTTACTTGTGATGTCAGAATCTCCTGTGATTATTAAGTAACATCAGTATGGAATGGATGACTGGCCTCTTTGCCAGCTGTATCGGTTTTCCATTTTCCCCATGTATTTTAGTTGATTTGTAAACATATCTCAACTAACAGTATTTAGCCTTTATATTAAATGGTTAATCTGTTTCTGTCAACCACACTGCCATTCGGTACATACAAAATACCACTGAAATGTGGGTTCTAATGGGCAGAAATCCAGTTTAGGTTTGCCTAAAGTGTTTCTAAACCCAGGACCCTGCATTCACTATATCTGGTCTCCCACAGTACGCAGAACATGGAAATGCAATTATTTTAGTAAATATAAACTGCTAAATACCTTTTCTCATCAGCAGTTACAGCAGACTTGTGACTTCTATCAGTGTCCAGCTGAGCACTGGTTAAAGCTGTAGGAGGAGTTTTCATTCTCCCCTGATTGTCCTATGAGGCTGCAAAACCCCTGACCCTCAGTCTGAACAGTGCTGATTGGCCCTATTTTAATCACAAGCACTCTCCCAAGACACAAAAATTCTCTATCAATGCACACCAAACTGAGTATGTAATGCTTGCTCCCAAGGCTCTGTTCCATCAGCAGATTGATTGAGGATGATAGAATGGGGAGGATGAGAGTAGACAGGATCAAACACCCTTTTTACACATTGCAAAGGATTTTACACATAAGTGGGTGTGGGGAGAAGATTCCCCGACCACCTGAAGCAGGTTACACGCAACACTGTAAGGGCTCGTTCACACCATGCGTGCATGGAAACTGATGTGCAGATTTCACTTGCAGAGACATCAGTTTTCATGCACGTTTCAATGAGTTTTTATACACATTGCAGCTTTCTGCGCAGAAAAAAATCTGCATGTGATAATAGTGTTGTGGTGTGAACAGGGGCACATAGAGAACAAATGTTTTAGTCGTGCCCTTGTAGAACACATGCAGAAAAACTGACATCTCTGCACCATTGCGAAAGAGCCCTATTGCCATTTACCTACGTTCCTTCATTGGTTAAAAAATGCTGAAATTTAACAGCAAACATCATCTATAGCTTTTTGTTCAGAAATCCTGTGGTATCTATTCATTTACATGTAGCCAGTATAAACACCCCCATATGCTCACCATATAAAAAAGTAATTTTATATCAAATGTTGTTGTCAAGCACCATTTGGAGGAAGCAGGAAGCATGGAAGACTAAGTATAATTTGCGAAAAACTCAATCCATTCTTGGACGCTGGCCATGAATTCAATTAGTTTCATCCCTGCCATACATGCACCTGGTAATAGAGGCAGAGATAGATGAGCTTTATAATAATAGAAGCAGAACACTCTACTGTAATGTCAGATCATCTTACACAGCAAATACACGCACACAAAGAACACGCCGCAAAAGACATGTGATGGGGAAGGTGCAGAGAACTGGAGGCTCACGGAACTATACGGACTAAATCTAACCACAATAACAAATGCTGCCTTCACTATGACAGCTGATGCTCTTACAGGAGGAAGTCCTGGCAGATGGAACATTTCATATAGTTTTAGATTCATTAAAATGTCATACAATATGGCAAAAGTACTAGAGTCTCTTAAAGTGGAACTAAACCTTCCTCTCCTTTACAGCCAAAGAACTTGCTACCTTAGCCTCGGCTTATATCTGACGTTTCCATGGTTCTTCACAGTGACCAGCTATAACAAATAGCTATTTGAGGGTTTGACAGTTTGGCTGAGAGCTGACATGAGCACACTGGTAAATGTGACAGCTTTAACCAGAACTAAACCCTCCTATCCTTTACAGCTGTGGTCTCCAAACTGCGGCCCTTTGCTTGCCTTTATCCGCCTCTTGATGCACTTTTCCTTCCACTGATACAAGACACTAGTCTTCCCACTGACACGAACAATGGGGTACTATTTCTACCAATGATGCCAATGATGGAGCTCTATTCCTAAAGCAGACACCAGTGACGGGGAACTATTTCTCCCACTGACGCCAACGGGGGGCACTATTCCTTCCAAGGACGCCAACGGTGGGGCACTATTCCTCCCAATGACGCTAACGGTGGGGCACTATTCCTCCCAATGACGACAACAGTGGGGAACTATTCCTCCCAATGACGCCAACGGTGGGGCACTATTCCTCCCAATGATGCCAACGGTGAGGCACTATTCCTCCCAATGACGCCAACAGTGGGGCACTATTCCTCCCACTCACCCAACAGTGGGGCACTATTCCTCCCATGATGACAACAGTGGGGAACTATTCCTCCCAATGATGCCAACGGTGGGGCACTATTCCTCCCAATGATGCCAACGGTGGGGCACTATTCCTCCCAATGATGCCAACGGTGGGGCACTATTCCTCCCAATGATGCCAACGGTGGGGCACTATTCCTCCCAATGACGCCAATGGTGGGGCACTATTCTTCCCAATAACGCCAACGTTGGGGCACTATTTCTCCCACTGACGCCAATGCTGGGGCACTATTCCTCCCAATGACGCCAACAGTGGGGCACTATTCCTCCCAATGACGCCAAAAAGTGGGGCACTATTCCTCCCATTGACGCCAATGGTGGGGAACTATTCCTCCCAATGACGCCAACGGTGGGGAACTATTCCTCCCAATGACGCCAACGGTGGGGAACTATTCCTCCCAATGACGCCAACGGTGGGGCACTATTCCTCCCAATGATGTCAACAGTGGGGCACTATTCCTCCCAATGACGCCAACGGTGGGGCACTATTCTTCCCAATGACGCCAACGGGGGGCACTATTCCTTCCAAGGACGCCAACGGTGGGGCACTATTCCTCCCAATGATGCTAACGGTGGGGCACTATTCCTCCCAATGACGACAACAGTGGGGAACTATTCCTCCCAATGACGCCAACGGTGGGGCACTATTCCTCCCAATGATGCCAACGGTGGGGCACTATTCCTCCCAATGACGCCAACAGTGGGGCACTATTCCTCCCACTGACGACAACAGTGGGGAACTATTCCTCCCAATGATGCCAACGGTGGGGCACTATTCTCCCAATGACGCCAATGTTGGGGCACTATTCCTCCCAATGACGCCACAGTGACTATTCCAATGACGCCAATGGTGGGGCACTATATTCCTCCCAATGACGCCAACGGTGGGGCACTATTCCTCCAATCCCGGTGGGGAACTATTCCTCCCAATGACGCCAAATGGTGGGGCACTATTCTCCCAATGACGCCAATGGTGGGGAACTATTCCTCCCAATGACGCCAACGGTGGGGCACTATTCCTCCCAATGACGCCAACGGTGGGGCACTATTCCTCCCAATGACGCCAACGGTGGGGCACTATTTCTCCCAATGATGTCAACAGTGGGGCACTATTCCTCCCACTGACAACAGTGGGGCACTATTTCTCCCACTAACAACAACGGTGGGGCACTATTTCTCCCACTAAGGACAACGGTGGGGCACTATTTCTCCCACACTAAAAACAACGATGGGGCACTATTGCTCCACTGACGACAACGGTGGGGAACTATTTCTCCCACTGACGACAACGGTGGGGCACTATTTCTCCCAATGATGCCAATAATGGGGTACTATTTCTCCCAATGATGACAATGGTGGGGCACTATTTCTCCCACTGACGCCAACATTGGGGTACTATTTCTCCCACTGACGCCAATGGTGGGGCACTATTTCTCCCACTGACGCCAACATTGGGGCACTATTTCTCCCACTGATGCCAACGTTGGGGCACTATTTCTCCCACTGACGGCAACAGTAGGGCACTAATACCACAGATGTATTGTTTTACTCACACTGACAGCAGGACAATTTCAACTCCCAATGGCCACAGTCTGGCCCCCTAAAGACTGAAGGGCAGTGAGCTGGCCCTTTGTTTAGAAAGTTTGGAGACCCCTGCTTTACAGCCAAATAAGCTGCCATCTTTGTTTTAACTGCAGTTGTCATGGTGCTTCACTTGTGATCAGTTATGACACCAGTCTTTGATGGCTAAACAGTTGAGTTGGGAGCACAAGCAACTGTGAAAATTCTCTTTCACGGCATGCCTTGAATGCCTTTTTTGAAGGACAGATAAAGTGGAACTAAAGTTGAACTGTAATGCAGGGTACACAATGTCCAAAAATTGTCTGGTTCCTGACATTCAGTCAGTGTGTACAGCAGCTTAACAGAAGATGGTTCAACAACAAGCAGCTTTTGTCGAAGGAACATGCTGGAAAACCAGCATCCGATCAGCACTTACAGCCAATGTCTGTGACCGCTGATCAGTGTGCTCTGGCTGGGTTGGAGTCCCCCTATCGGAATACAAAGGGTGGGGCTGCACCAACATCACTTGCGTTAGATCGCGATCTGTCAGTTCTATTTTGGTAATCCCGCTGGGGAGCAAAAAAAATATAGCTGTGTGTACCAGGCATAACGTACTGTGAGCAGGGAGACTTTTTATTGAAGAAGAGACAAGCAATGTCTCTCTTATGCGATAAACTACACCTACATGCCTGCTGTCAGCTCCCGGAATGTAAGCTGAGCTGACCATGTGAAGCTCAGCTTATGGTGGCTGGCCCGATCCTGTGTGCCTGGGTGACTATTTCCTGCACATGCAGAGGAGTGATGTCATCCAATGCCGGCCAATGAAGAAGCCTGAGACCCGCACTACAGAGAAGATGCCAGCACCAAAATGGACCATTGGAAATGTGAGCATCTCTGTCTTTAAACTATTTTTAGTTCTGCTTTAACATCAGTCTCTAGTAGATACCAGCCTTTCTCAACCATAGGCACCCTGGGGTGCCTTGAGGTTTCTCAGGGGTGCCTTGGCAAAATGTCTCCCAAAACTTGTTACAAGCCAGTGGGTGGAACAACTTTTAATTACACACAAAGCCACAAGTTTTCATTGTGCACCATTAGGACCTTCTAGCCGCTGGCGTCCTAACAACCAATGACATCATCAGTTGATAAGGAGGATGTTGGTTGGCTGCACAGCTTCCTAGTTTGACGCTCTCTTGCCCCTCTCCATCAGTGCTGAGTCACATTACTCAGTGATGGAGAAAAACTGAGAGAGAAGAGCACTGGAATACTAGTCAGTACCACTGAAGAATAAATCACCTCTAATGTTGGGTGTCCTACATGTGTGGATGTTGCTGCGTTATATAAAACTAGTGGAATAGTTTTTTTTCACATTTTAGAATGGGGTGCCCTTTTAAAATTATGGAAAGTCTTGAGGCACCCCATTTTAGAATGGGGTGCCCAAAAACTGTCTATACTGTTAAAGGGTGCCTCTGGACTGTC